CCAAATGCTCAGTTGACATCCCAACTTGCTCCCACACTTTTCCACCAAATTTGCGGGTGAAACAAGAAACTTCGTGAATAACGCCTGCTATGTTGTATTAAAGGCTTCAAAGGGGGAAAACTGTTAGGGTTGAAGTAATAGTAGATTAACACGGAGCGAGGAACGCGCTTTCAGGAGACTCTCGAAAGTCATCTATAATTGAAGCATTCAACAGTGAGAAAAAAATCAAAAATCACAAAACTTTCCGAACAGCCCAATATTCATTCAGCTCACTTTCTTCCATCGAAGCTGTTTTCACTCATCTTACTTCAATTTTCATATGATGCATGTGAAAGGGAATACCTTTGTGTCCGTAAACGCACATTGGTTTAAGTTTTACGTAAACGTTTATTGAAAGCACCCATGGATCACGCCTGTTACGTAATTTCTGTTGTTGTGATCTTTTGAAATATTTCGCTTTATTTTTATTTTATGGATGAGTGACAGAGAAAGGTACATCAGGCAGCGCTGCCATTAACTTTGAGAGTCCTCCCAAGACAAGTGACGATATTGTGCGAGGGCATGGTGCGAGGTAGGGAGGGTAATGTGAAATCTTGATCAAAGTCTATCCCTTTCTTTGCATTACCAGCTTTTTTTTTAGTGCTAATTCGTAACTCTTCATTTGTGGTGAGCAATGTTTAGTCAGGGCGATTTCTCCGGCATTCAATCCAAGGCAAACCATGGCTGTCGGACAAATTCAGCATGAAGGAGAGATGTGTCTTGAGTCGGTCAGCTGTGGAAGGCCGGTCAGTCGCTAAGGTCGCTGGGGTGCCGCGGCTACAGATTATGCAACGTAGTGTAGAGTTGCCGAGTACATAGGCAGCATTCGATCACTGGCGCCAAATTGCTGAGGAAGTGGTCTCACTTCTTTACGGAGCCTAGCGAATCGCAATTGCCTGCTAGTCGCAGATTACGAGCGTTGCGCTAGTGGATTGAACCATGCAACAGTGGTCTGAACCAAGCATTAGTGGATCGGACGGTGTACCTGCGACTTGACAGTGTTGGAAGATTATTTGGTTTCACGTTCAGTCCACTAACCTCTCGCCTATTAGCCGCTGGTGTGGTGGACGGGAAAGTGGCCGAGTCACGGTGGAGAGGGATAAGCGTCACGCTACCGGCATTTTACACAAGGTGGGTCGGTTGCTGGTTACGTCGTCCGAGCGCTTTTGGACTGCGACCGCCGGCGGTAGAAGGGTGGTGCGGTGGTGCAACGGCCCGGTGCTCGGATGCATTAGGCTAGCGAGATCGGATGGATGCACAATGCGCTGATTAGGGGCTTATGGGATAGCTTTCATTCGAAAGAGATAGTGACAAGAAAAATGCGGATAGCGGGACGCTGTAGCGTTCGAAGAAATTTGCGCAGGAAATGGAGCACGAACGGTGCACGGATCAAAGTGGAGAGTTAGAGCGTGGTCAGGTTTATCTGCCTTTTTGTGGCCAAAGCTAGGTGTGGGCAGGAGACCGCAAGCCTATAAGCAAACGGCGGCAGTGGCGGCGCAGTTGCGTGACCCTCAGTCGGGGAAGGCGCAGTTGAACGTAGACAAAAGTTCAGATTTTGGAAGATTAAGGTAAGCAGAGGGGAATGAGACGAGATGATATGATTGATGAATGATGAGTGATGATAATCATTGATAATGAGAGGAGATCGAGTTAATCATTGGAGAATGCTCAAATAATCTACGGACACCATATACAACTGTAAGGATTGGAATTCTTTTATCTCAACGATTTAGCTTGGCAGAGGGTTCAATTAGTACGAGGAATGGTTCAATGATTGGTGTCAGTCCGCCATTATAATGAAGGTGGTAGTCCACGAGTGTCTTGCCGACGCTGAGCTCAAAAGGTGTGCGAACTGGGGGACATGATTGCCGCGCGGTCGTCAAGGTGTTAAAGGTGGATTTTGAGATGAAAATGCAGCCGATTAGAAATTAAGCTAGAGGTGGTCAATGGTGCCGTACAACGTGGTTGCCCTAAAGCACACTTCTCTCTATGCGGGCTCTTGCTTTCAGCCCACCTCTTCTCGGACCGTCCATACAGGTTGGTGGTTTCGTGGGTTTGTTTCGCTCTCCCAAAACCAAATAATTTTGAACGTTGTACGTCGTTCCTAGTGATCTCCACCACGTATGCAAGTTGAGAAAGAATCCAAGGAACGAAACAGTTGCATGGGCTTTTCCTCTGAAAAACAAAACTGCTAGCAACGGGCGGAGATCGAACCTCACGTTTTCCTTGCAATTAGTAATGCAGTACCATTACTTGATGATTACACTATTGGAGTATGATTCACTGCTTGGATATTGGCTGCACTTGTTCCAACGTTCGTTGGATAAGGTACGGGTTGAATCCCGTCAGGCGAGAGTTTAATCATAACCCAAACTCTTGATATAACTTTCGCATGGCGAAATGCAGCAGAAAACAGCATTTATGGCACAACACCTCCTATGTAATACCCCCATTCAAAATCGTTGTGGCGCTTGGATGCTTATTTGATCTTTGAGAACTCAGGACCAGCTAACGTATATATCAGAGTTCTCCAAGATTAAAGAAGGTACACATGGGGAAGTAACGAATTTTGTATTAAGCATGTTAAACTCCAATGTGGTCAAGTGTTTTATTGATGACGCAGTTTCATCCAATTACAACCCGTGGACAATTGATTTGGCATAACAAAACAAAAAGGGCAAAGCTCGAATGTTCAGCGAAAATTTTTGATTTTTACTATATTTTTTGTTTACAAATTGTATGCCTGTAGAGTACTATCGTGCGCTGTAACGAAAAGAAATTAATCATCACAATCAGGAATTATGGTCAAAACGTTCAGTTCTTGGGTAGCGCTTAGTATCAGCCCTACCCTTTATGGAGATTAATGGTCCTGTAAGTCGGCCATTTTAGGAGATGAAACTTTTTCTCTAGGATTCCAAATTTTTCATTATATTTGCACAGTGCGTTTATGATTATGACAGCTCACTCTGAAATTTGCATTCCAGATGAGCAGTCATTCAGGAATTTTTCTAGTATTATCAGCGGATCCCTAGCTCAAATAACTCACGTATCCACAGGATTGGCAACAGCACAATTTTTCCGAACTTTTTGTAATTTTATAATTTATCGATTTCTTGCAGCGTTTCGTAATTGTAAACCCACCCTGAGAAAATGAACAATTTTACATGAGATCAACAGGAGCGAGATACACGTAGCTGGAGCATTCGGTGATGTTCGTTCCGTTGAGCGTGAATGGGGCATCAGGAACCAATCCGTTTCTCATAAACATCGTCTTCGTTAGGTTCAGCTGTAGACCGACCTTACCACAGGCGCAGTCGAAATCAGCCAGCATTCGCTCCGCTTGCTCGATGTTCGGCGTTATAAGAATGAACTTCAGTAGATGGTTAAGTGTTGAAATGAAACGCAGCGGAGGAATTCTTTTCCCAGGGGCGAATTCGCTGATGGTTAAGTAAATTGTTATGTGGCAAGGGTCGAAGAGAGGCGTGACGATCAGGGCAGACGTTAGCCAGAGGTGGTCCTGATTGAGGAAGATGGAGAGTAGTGGAAATGGAAGGGCGAGATTGTCAGATAGAGGTCGATGATAATTCTTCTGGAATAATTTGTTAACTGTACAACCAAATTCGCAGTTAAGCGAAAAGTTAAATTTGCCACAGAGGGATGAGTCCCCATGTGAAGGTCTTTTCATTTCAGCGCCTTCAATGCGATATGACAGAGCGAAGCTGCGGCCTACTTACGAGTCGTGCACGCGAGGCGAGACTTTCAAAAATTAGAAGCAGTACTAAATGCTTTCGTCCAAATGCTATTTGCTACTTGAGAGCTGACTACAACCAGTAATGAAAAAATCAGTTTTTCCTGACTCAAGCAAAGATATTTTTAAGGGCCGCGGATTTATTGCTCGCTCCTCTGAACGTTGCATTTGATTAAACGGGGAATTGGAATGGAGATAACAAAACCAAAAAGGGCAACTATCGATGTTCAATGAAAACCTACTGAGTGTAGGCAGAAACTCGGAATTCCTGTCATAGGATAAGCCAACATAGCCCAGCATAAGGACGCATACAAAAGAGTGCCTAACTCATAACGTACGACGCACGCGCGAAGTACCCTGTCGTCTGATACGTTTAAGCAATTTTGAACGAAATTCGGAGGAGAAACAAGAAAGTATATCTGGTTTTGGAAATGAACGGATTACCCAACTCAATTTTATAACGCCTATAACAAAGTCAACAAAGGTCTACCAGCGTTCAGCTGGGACGTGTCGAAAACTGATTCTATTCCATACCATCTCATAGTCGTCTGCATACTATTTACAGCAAGAGTCTCACGTATGGTGTTTACTCGTTAAGGCCGATGTCAGACTTTGCGAATCGCGCGATTCGCTAGCGTCTGCGGTCGCGTCGCGGCCAGTGAATCACTCAATTGGCTGGTACCGCAACGCGACCGCGGACGCTAGCGAATCGCGCGAATCGCTAGTAGCGAATCGCGCGATTCGCAAAGTCTGACATCGGCCCAAAGTAGTTTGGCCGTTCCTTCCGAGATACCGACTACGAATATCGTTGCACTTTGAACACAAAAGAATTTCTACCCTTGCCCTCCAACCCTTTTCCTCTCGGTTTTCTGGTTTTTGTGAATAAGTTCGAACTTCGCCGAATCCCTTTCCACTTCAACAACAGCGATGGCACATAACTATCACAACCAAGACTGTACTTTTATTTATAGAATTTCCTGCCTCTATCTGAATTAACACGGAATCAATACAAAAACGTCGCAAACAGCGCTGGGGAGAAATCCCTTCAGAAGCAGTGCTTCAGACAGGGATTGTCAGTGCAAATACAGTGCAATCATGTTCAGCTAAAGTACATCACCCAGCCATTATAAAAATGGATGTGGTGAAAATACGGACAAAACTGTCTCCATCAAAATGTTGCTCATTCTCCCACTACTACTTTTCTTTCTAGCGGATGCCGAAAAATAGGTGAGTGCTACTAGTTTCATGATAATGCTTATATAGATATAACAATCTGATATTTGAAGACACCAGGGCGCTATCGCGAGATACAGGCATTCCCTAAGATCAAGCCTAAAATGGAGAAGGCCCTCCGCGCAGAAAAAAAGTTGTTAACGCACCCTGGAGTTCACCTGCCCTCCAAGTTATAATCCCGCTCGTAACAAGAAGGGAATGTTTGACATGATCGAAACGCGCTGCCGCCACAAAGCTTTCGTATCTTGTGATAGCGCCGACGTCACCTACTAACATATAATGAAAACTCGCAAATTTTTTTAACAATTCAGAAAAAATTGCTCGTCGAGGGAGAACGATGTTCCGGCTGCTCAACAAAGCGTTGAATCCAGGACTGGTTGGTTTTCACGATGTTCGGCCGAGCAATGTAGATAGTGAAACGTTACCTCAGTAGCTTTTTAATTGTTCATCCACATGAATTCACAGAAATGGAGTTACGAATTGGTGGACGACGCGTTTGAAGAATTGATGAAGAGAAATTCGTGAACGTCAATGCGAGGGTCAAAGCGGAACAGTTTGTGCTAGTCTTCTTGTGATTTTTCTTTCTCTGTACCTATTACAGTACTATTTTATATGTTCAGCGATTTTCAATACAAGTGACCCCACACCAGTGGCAGTAAAAGTGATAATAGCATTGGCAGGGCCCCTTGAAGAAAGACAAAGGGAGGTGGGTTGAAGATATTGAGAGCCTTAACCAGCCATGTCTTTGCATGACTGGCGGAGAGCGTATTCAGAACTTGCGCCAAACTCGTGAATAGGGGAACGGCAGAGGGCTATTGAGCGACATTTAGTGCCTTGTAGAAATGTCTCTTGAAGGAATCTTCCACGGAAAAACATCGCCTCCATTCCTACAAAAAAACGATACCTTAGGCCCCTTGCTTCATGAAGATAGCAAAAAAAACGGAACATAAGCGATGGTTTTGATAATAATTATGATAACCAGTTCGACTATGAAAATTTTGAATTCCCGCTGTAAAACTTCCACAACTGTTAGCGGCGTGGAGTCAACACGTGCAAACGTGTCAAAAGCGTGAACGTGAACTGGATTCATGTTGGGCCCTTCCCATAAACTGACACGTGGATCCGCACCTGCCACGCACTTCGTCACAGAAGCACTTCCGGTCCCGCCTACTGGTCCAATCCGGTCCCACAGATGGGTCTTTCCAAGGGCTGTTTCTCTTGGGGTTTCATCATTTTCGCTCTGAACTTTGCATATGGTCTTCAATGACCATGCCCAACACCTGTACACAAGGCAAAACCCGTTGAAGATTCCTTTAAGTGCACCATAGGCAATGAGTTCCACATGATTTTTTGCTAGTGGTTCGCTCCACTAGCTCGGCGCAACACGTGAATACGTGGGCAAAAATTGCTAGCAATCTGTTCAAGGCAGATGTTCGTATTAAGAGCAACAAGCTTAAACTAGTATAAAATTATTTTCTACATCAATGCTAAATTTCGAGGGGCCGAATGGTCCGCAATTATGTTTTAACAACTGCAACTGTTCATTCAGATAGAAGCTCTTCGCAACGGTACACACTTTGGATGCAATGGCATTATCAGGAAGAACTACACAAAAGGACATGACAGGATGGAAATCATATGTTTATATAGGACTGGAAAGAATTTAGAAAAAATTACCCATGAAGCGAGAATGATGCTCAAGAGGCTTAATAAATGGTTGAATCGAAGACTGGTTGGTTTCCGAGATGTTCGGCCGAGCAGTATGGATAGTGTTGACACCTTACCTTAGTAGTTTTTTAACTGCTTAACCACGTGAATTCACAGAAATGGGATAACGATTTGGTGAGACTGGCGTATGAAGAATTGATGCACACAAGATCCGTGAGGCCACCGCAAAGGTCAAAGGGAAATAGTTTGTGCTAGTTTTCTTGTGACTCTTCTTTCTCTGTAACTATCACAGAATTATTTTTATATGTTCAGCGACTTCAAGACAAGTGACCCAACACCAATGGAAGTACTCGGTGATAATAGCAATATCAACGCACTTTGGAACAAACAAAGAAGGTGGAGTTTAAACATTTGCAGAACCTTAACAACATGCCATTTGCATCGGACTGGCGGAGTGCGTTCAAAGTTGTGCTAAACTGTGTAGTAGGAGAACAGCAGAGGCGTGCACTGGGCTACCTTTATGATCTTTGTAACAAATTTTCGTAATGCATTCCGATATAAATAAGTGCTATACTCCTTTTTCTGTGGAATTCGACTCTCTTAGCTTGGTCCAAGAAGCAAATATGCGAACGAAACTTGGTAGCAGGTAGCAACCTGCCCAAGGTCGAGGTCGGATGTGAAGAGCTCGCTTCAACCCTCTGTTTTTTTTCACAATCCACGCTTAGAATTCAGGAGTGAACAATCCGGAATTTTGCGTACCGGTCTACTTGCAACTTATTTAGAGATCCTTTCCGTTTAATTCCACGTGTAAATGTTGCATTCTTGAAGCTACAAGACATATTTATTCAGATAAGACGTCTTCCCGCCGGTACACTTTTTGGATGCAACGGCATTGTCATAAACCGCTACAAGCAAAAAATTAATAGGATCGAAGTTGCATGTTTATATATGAGAGTTAGAAACAGGAGAGAGGACACGAGTGAAAATTAATAAATACTATGATTCAATCCAATGATTAACATAAACACCTGTTTTTTCAAAACACCTTTTCATTCAGAACAGTACAGAAAGTACGGATCAGTGATCAAGAAGCGCACCAAAAAAGAGGGAAGGAAGGTGAATCGAAGAGGCCAATGAATGAGAAGTTGGATCACGCGATGCACCCTTAGACGTTGATAATGAATCCGCTTCCCAAATCTGCTGAAAGATTCTACTAGCAAAGTCATAGAATTTCATGGGTACGGAGTAGGCTCGAGCTTCACTTGAACGCAAGACGAAAGCAGGCCGTTATTTTCAAGGTCAAGGATGGCATTCGCCGTAGACAAGATACTCGCAAGTTTTCAGAATGTTAGATGAGAGTACTATGAGTTCATTCTGATTTTCTCATCTTCTCTCATGACATCGCTTTAGTAGTTTACACCCTGTTGAATGATTCTTGTAGGTTGAAATAGTGTTTGGACGGGTAGTTTCCTGAATGGCTTTCGTCTTTTCCAGGCTCTGAAGAAGGTGAAAGCACCGAAACGTCGGCATAATAAAGTTAATTGCCAATCTTGGTTGGAAGCTCAGATAATAATCGAGAACCATGCCAAGATTCAAGATCGGACTTGGATATTTCAGCGAAGAAATTTTCTGACCCATCTCACCCCCACTGGGGTTGTAACAGTTCGTTAGCGCCCGAACATTTGCTGTCAGTTTGAGCATCAGTTCTCTTGTCCCCTGGAATGAATGAAGACACTTCAACTGCTGGATCCCATTTCATCTCAGCAACATAGACGGTAACGTTGATCGCAGGATTGTTGTAAGCTAATCCTTCTGAAAACAGATTTTTATATAGATGTGATAGTGCAATTTCGGCGCGTTCAGCTAAAGTGCATCAACATAAGCATTCGAAAGGGGGAAGGAGTGGAGAAATGGATCATTTCATCGCATGCGAAATTTATTGTATTTATTACTATGTTTTGCGT